TGGGAGCCTCTTATCTTGGCAGCTCCCAGCCAGCAGCCCAGCAGGAACCTGAATCTGCTGGGCAGGCTATTCCATGTGGCTCTGCTCTAGAGGTACGTCTAGACTACATGCCTCTGGCGACAGAGACATGTAGATTAGGCTACCGGACATAGTAAAATGAAGTGGCGATTTAAATAATCGCCGCTTCATTTAAATTTGCATGGCTGCTGTGCTGAGCCGACAAACAGCTGATCAGCTGTTTGTTGGCTCAGCGCGATAGTCTGGCCGCTCCCCTGCCGTCATCAAAGTTATTTGTCGACCACCCAGGTATCCCAGCTCCGTAGAGAGTACCACATTTCAAAATAGGATATAGCATTGCATATTACTCACCAACAACACCTTTGCTCCAAATAGCTTTATCAGGAGGCAATAAAATCTTGGCAGTTTTGCATCAAGAACAGAATTCCTTCACCTCCAGTATCCCAAAATAGTGCCATAGTCTAGACGTACCTTTAAGGTTTTTCCAGCTGCAGGTTAAGATGAACTGATGGGCTGTTACAGCTTTAATATACATTGACAACTGCAATGTTCTTTAACTAAATAGAAAGTGAAGCTTCGAGTTAAATCACATGCAGCCAACAGTCACTGAAATACAAAGCCTCCCTACAGAAACACCAGCGTACGCGCTATATATCCTCTGTAGAGAACTGTGGCAAAGTGTACTTTCTGGGCACAGCAGGAGTGACTCAGACTATGGATTAGATTCTTGGCCATAACTTCCTCTGCCTTATGCTGTGTCAGCAACACAAAGTAGGTGGAAAGTTGCCCTACAGAGGCATCTGGGGATTAACCTAACGTAAAGAAATCATTAGGTGATGTGGATCTGGCAGAGATGATTCTACACCACCTGATCTCGCTTCACCACATACAGGTGTGTCCAGATTGTAGGGCAGCAGGGAGGGGACGTGCCTGGAGCAGAAAGAAGTGGGGGCAGATCAGATCACATAGTGCTGATTGCTTCTAGCATAGCAGCTTTGTTTGGGACTGCAATTGCTGATGTAGGCTGATTTAAATTTAGGCCAGGAATAGGGGCCAGGCCAAGATGAAGAGAGTGAAAGGAAAGAAATTAGAGCTAGTCTCCTCAGCTGTGCTGAGCTGGGTTGCTAAATGCACAAAATCAAAGACTGCTGCCCCCACCTCTTCTCTAATGCCACCTCTCCCAACTCCATTCTCTCTCACTCCCTGGCTGCGTCTAGATTGGCATGATTTTCCGGAAATGCTTTTAACGGAAAAGTTTTCCATTAAAAGCATTTGCGGAACAGAGCGTCTAGATTGGCACGGACGCTTTTCCGCAAAAGCACTTTTTGCAGAGAAGCGTCCGTGGCCAATCTAGACACGCTTTTCCACAAAAAAGCCCCGATCGCCATTTTCACCATTGGGGCTTTTTTGCAGAAGACAAATCTGAGCTGTCTACACTGGCCCTTTTGCGGAAAAGCTTTGTGCAAAAGGGACTTTTGCCTGAACGGGAGCAGCATAGTATTTGCACAAGAAGTGCTGATTTCAGACAGTAGGAAGTCAGAGCTTTTGTGGAAATTCAAGCGGCCAGTGTAGACAGCTGGCAAGTTTTTCTGGAAAAGTGGCTGATTTTCCAGAAAAATTGGCCCGTCTAGACACAACCCTTCTGTTGCTCACTCTCCCCTACCCTCATTGACTTTCATTGGGCTAGGGCAGTGGATGAGGACTCAAATAGGGTTACAAGTTTTCCTTCCTTTCCAGTTGCAAACACTTTACACGGGATTTGGCCTTGTCTCAACTGAGATCCAGCAGACAGGATAGGGCACAGGATTTATTGAACTGACCTCTACTTGCCTCTCCATCTCCTTTTGCAGTCCTGCGGAGCTCAGGTTGGGCTAAGGGTTATACTCTAAATGACTTTGAGCTGCTGTGTCCGGATGGAAGACGTGTTGCAGTCACAGACTGGGCAGATTGTAACCTGGGTCCTGTTCCCCCTAACATTGTCATGACACGGCCAGTGACTATGACCAAGATCTACAACTTCCTAATGAAATCTCAGGTAAGGGAGACAATGGGAAAGATGGTTCAGTTTGGCTTACATGCTACCGGAAACTCCATCAACGCCCGGAACTCAAAGCCTTCCAACAAAATGAAAAACAAACCAAGCGCCTCCACAGCCAGCTCTAAAGACTGTACAGGAGACCAATGAAAAGACCATTCACATTCATTAAAAAGGAGTTTCAGCACCAGTAACATCATGATCATGTTCTTGCTGAGAAACACTCCACTGTGATTCTCTGACGGACAATATGATAACTTGCAAGTGACTGCAAAGGCCTCAAATAAGACTTGCAGTAGCAGAACCCTCTACACCTCTCTCTGTGAGGTTCCCACATTGCTGAAAATTCACCTGTTTCACCTATTTCATTTTCTGCTTTCTAATTTTCTTGTCTTTTCTGTTTAGGAATCTCTGGCAATGAATCTGGATTCCAAGTTCCATCTGTTTAATTCTCAGGAGTATGGAGAAAGTGATCTGCTTTTTAAAGATGCCACTCACTATCTTGTTCTCACAGACCACCAGGCCTATCGGTCTATCCTTGGAAAAGCCTTCTTCCAGCTGGCAGAATCTGTGTTTAATTGCACACATGCAGGTAATGTGAAGTAGTTTGTGTTTGGTTTAGGAGACAACCTTAGAAGCGTATTTGCTTCAACTCCAGCTGGGCAGTAGCTGATAAACTCTTTTTTTTCTACTTCAGCGGCTGCTAGGGGGTTCCCCCAAAGCCAAAATTCCTTACAGCAACTCCTGCCTCTAGGCATCGGTATGCGAATGTTTCAGGGCGTTTCCCCACAGATGACGTTAAAATAATCATTGCTACCAGCTCCCGGTGAAGAGCAGCACTTCTGCAGTAACACTCATTCACTGCAGATTTTAAAAGATTCCTACACTATGGGGAGACAGTGAATACTGTACACTGAATAGCTAAGCAAATTATAGCCTGAATTTGGCCACAAGATTAATGATAGTGTAAAGCAGGCACAAGTTTATTGAAGACTGGCCCATTAGTACCAGCTGTGATTTTGCCCCTTGACTTCCAGAGACCAGTTCTATAGCTAGGGGCACAAGAAGTCACTTATTTCTTACTACGAGATGCCGAGCTTTGGGAAAAGGGATCAGGTTTTTTACATTTAAAATGTTAATTATCCTTAAAAAAGGACTGTGTCATACTGAATGATGAAAAAACTTTTCAATAGTATGGCTAAAAAATATTTAATGACCTGGCTAGCCACAAAACCATGAAACCAACTATATAAAAATGGCTATTAAAGGCAGAGTAAGAAAACTGGAAATAACCTGAGAAGCTAGTATGAGTCTTTTTAAGTGATGTCAGGTGTAATAGGAACAATCTGTTCAGGCAGAACAGTGATTTTATAGTTGACAGTTTTTAATTAAAACTATATTTTGATTTATAGACATCTTAGAATTCTGCAAACAGGATATCTGCACATCTTAAATAGGCAGACACGTCTACTGATGCAACAGACAGAAGTGCCGCAAGATATCCATCACCACCACCCAAGCTGAAACCAAGAGATACCAAAACGGCTTTCACACTGAAGACTGGCTATTTGCAGTTTCATAACAGCAAGACAGATATCATGTTCAAATACTGAAAAAATGAACCGTGCAGTTGCCATACTCTTACTAATATATATGCTCCCTCTTTCCCCACCATGACTACTGGACTAGCGATGCTGAAAATGCTCAAATGTCACTGCCATTTCCTGTCCAGAAGTGCTGTTTGTTACTTACATCTACTCTGCTTTGTGTGAAGCATGGCATCACATAGAGCAGTACAGACTGGACAGCAAAATTTTGAGACTTGGCAAGCAGCCTCAGAAGAGTAGCTGCCAGCAATTAAAACTCTTTAGTAGCTTCAGTTTAATCCCAACCCGGCACAATTTATCATCTTTGCAGGGAGGTCAGAGGCTACACTGTAGGCAACATCAGGCTTAGGAATAATAATTCCTTCTTCTGCTGGCCATATACAGCACACAGGTTATTGCTTTGTTCCTCTAACTTGCTTTATTTATACTACATTTCCATTAAAAACATCTGGGATAACTGCAATATTACTTTTGAATGCATGTATCTTGCTTCAGCTAGCTACGCTGCACTACCTTTATATTTTCCTCTAGCACAGACAAGCAATACGTGTATTTATTTCTGGTTTATTTCTCTTTTGTTTGTATGACCAACCAAGAACATGTACCAAATGAATCAATACATTTTGCATTTATCTCTCGGCAAATTAACACTCTGTAATGACTAAGTTGTTTCTACCATCAGAACCAGGTTCTGTGTATTATTAATAGGAGGTGGAGATGGATGGGAAAGGAATAGCAGCGGAGTTCCATTCTGGTACAGAAAAGCAGCACTTAGCAGGGTATTTCTCATGTTGGAGAATAATCTAATGTGTATGCATCCAAACCCTAGGGCAGTGATTTTCAAGCTATGGGTCGTAGCCCAGCGCTGAGTCAGGGAATGCCAGGCACTGGATTACTTTGCTGTATGCTAGGGGGACCAGATGATCAATGGGGGTGCTAAGGCAGCTTCCTGCCTGTCCTGGCACTGTGGACCATGCTGTTCCCCAGAAGCAGCAGATCCAGCTGCAAGGCATGGCGGGGGCTACTAAGTATTATCTCCACTTCTGACTATCCTGTTCCTTGGCCCCCTTGTCGGATTTGATGGGCGAGCGCAGTGAGCAGGTGCTGTAATCCAACTCGCTTGCCTTCCCAGGGAAGGCTGGAGAGTGAAAGATCCCAACATGTCAGGGAAACCAAACAGAGCGCAATGTCTGTGGCATCTGGGAGCCATTGAATTGCAGCATACACAGTATTATCTCCACTTCTGACTATCCTGTTCCTTGGCCCCCTTGTCGGATTTGATGGGCGAGCGCAGTGAGCAGGTGCTGTAATCCAACTCGCTTGCCTTCCCAGGGAAGGCTGGAGAGTGAAAGATCCCAACATGTCAGGGAAACCAAACAGAGCGCAATGTCTGTGGCATCTGGGAGCCATTGAATTGCAGCATACACAAGGGCCCACTCCGGGCCTGGATCTGTTCATTCCAATCTCATGAATGAATGTTTTGGCTTCCTCACGCTCCCACTTCCTTCCTTGGAGTTCATGCACCATCTAATGGACTGTTGTAGCACTGCACTGTGATTTCCACTGCTGAGAATCCTTAAACCAGTAGAAAACAGTAAGACAACTGTAGAATGTAAGTATTAATAACATTTTACATAGTTTGGATTTAGTAGCAACACATTTTCTATGCAGTTAGGGTCTAGAATGCTGGAGGTACTTTGTTATGAGATCCATAGTACAGAGTAGAAAAACAAGGTTTCTGCGGGAATGACTAGATTCTAGGCTTTAGAACAAAGGTGGGGAACCTTTTCTGCATCGGGGGCTGCTGACCCACAGAAAAAGGAGAAAGACACTCCCCAGCTACGTCTACACTGGCAGCTTCTTCTGGAAGAACTCTTTTGCGGAAGAGTACGTGTGCAAAAAACTCTTCCACAAGAGAGCATGTACACTGCCATGTGCTTTTGCACAAGAGCATCCATGCCAGTGTAGATGCTCTCTTGCGCGAGAAAGCTCTGATGGCCATTTTAACCATAGGGGTTTCTTGCGCAAGAAATTCAAGGTGCCTGTCTACACTGGCCTCTTGTGGAAGAGCTCTTGTGCAAGAGGGCTTATTCCTCGTGGGGAGAGGAATAACTCTTCCGGAAAAGCCTTGTTTTTCAACGCTAGACTGTAAATTTACTTCTGGAAGAACACTTGTGCAATGTAGACAGCCAGCAAGTTTTTGCAGAAGAACGGCTGTTCTTCCAGAAGAAGCTGCCAGTGTAGATGTAGCCCCCATGTTCCCCTCACACACCAGAGCCTAGGGGGGCCTAGCCTAGTAGATTGTGTGCTCCAGCCTTGAGGGGGTGGAGAGCAGGAGGTGGAAAGCCCTGGAGCAGCAGTGCAGGCCCCTCAATGCTGGGGCGGGGGGATCTCCAAGCCCCAGGGCCTGATCCAGGCAATGCAGGGACCACATCTGGCCCCTAGGCCTTTGGTTCCCCACCCCTGCTTTAGAGCAACAAATCTCTATCAAAGTCATTAATTTTTAGGTTAAGGTCAACAGCCAGGTTTCTTCCAGAGATTGCAGTATATGAAGAGCAGGCCTAGTTAATTGTTTCTAATTGCTTGTGGGTTATGAATTCTGTATGACTGTTCAGTCTCACATAGGCAGGGATTTAAGATACCTTAGTACTTGTCATCCAAACATTAACTGTTGGGTAGTGCAGGGGTCTCCAACCTTTTGAAGCACAAGATCACTTTTACAATTTAAGTGCAATCCAAGATCTACCTCACACCCAAATACCTTTGCCCCACCTCCTTTGTGCCCCTTCTGAGGCTCACTGCATCATTCAAATGTGATTCAGTGTCCTATCAGTGTGGACACGCTATTTTGAAATAGAAACATGCTATTTCAAAATGCATTTTATGTCTAGACGTGTTATTTCGAAATAATGCTATAGTGCAGACATACCCTAAGGGAGTTTGGGTTCAGGGAGCTCAGTGCTAGGGCAGGGGCTTGGGATGTAAGGGGGGGGGGGGTCATGACTGGGGTAGGCTTTCAGGATGTGGGCTCTAGCTGGGCCCGGCTTACCTCAGGTGGCAGAACAGTGGGGCTAAGGCAGCTCACCCTTACCCTGGCCCTGCACCGCTCCTCAAAGCAGCTAGCAAATCCCATTCCAAGTCCTGCTGTGCCCCCTCTCTGCTCTGTGGAGACAGGACACAGAGTGGGAGGGGGTACCTTGACATCAGCACCCCTCCTCTGGCCTGCCTGCGAGGATCACTTGTCAAAGGCTTTGAGATCTATCAGCAGATCCCGAACTACTGGTGAGCACTGAGGTATAAAGTTGTAGGACGACTGTTTGAGTCACTAGTTCCTTCCCCACCTTCTTTGGGACAGGCACGAGGAGCAGGAGAACACAACAGCTAACCCAGCTAATCAGTGAAGTCTTTGGTATGATGAGGGTTGCAACATGGAACCTCTGGTTAGGACAGGAGAGGAAAAATACAAATGAATCCAGGACTGTAATACAGAATTCATGCAGGCCATCCTGCACTTGTCAGTGTTGGAGAATTCATAAAAAGGAAAACTTCAGAACTAAGAACGCACCACACTCCCTTACCCAAGCACTAAACACCACTGTGAAGACTCAATTGTTTGCATTGTATGGAAGCCTGCATGGCCTTTGTTCACCATACATGTATGAAAATGTTACACAAATGCCTAACACAGCTACTGGCTTAAGAGAAGCAATATTTGCATTTTCATTCAAGTATTTCAGAACACTTTACAGACAATGAATTCATTTTCACAGCTTTGCTGGGAGACATATCCCCCTTTCGCCTGGGGGAAACATGAAGTCAAGGCACAAATAGCACTTTATTTTGAATAAAAACCCAAAGCTTTTAGTAAACAATTGAAAGGTTCTCAAAAACATTTTATTTCCATAAATTAAACACAAAGAAAAAAAAAATCAGTGGAATTTTAAATTCACAAACAAACTAATCTGCAGAGGCATGACAGAGGCCAATGTTACAAAGTAAAAATTTCCACTGAGCTATTTATTAACATGATGATCTCAGACAGACATCTCATCCAGGCAGTTGTCAGTCCTCGTGCTGAAGAACAGATGCTATCTACCCACACACCCAAGATCCCAACTCTGACTAGGATATGGCAAATGACAGTGGCTTGCCACAAACCATATCCAGAAAGCATCAAAACTCAAGTATATGCAAGTCTCAGGCATACTGGGTCAGAGGAACTCTTTAATATGCACCAGGGCGCCTTTGCCACACAGTGTGCGGCTGGATAAGAGCACTGAAGTTTGATTTCAGTAAAACTGCTCCCCTCGATCCCAAGGCAGACACGCAGCCTGCACTGCTGGGCTCTTTCCTGATAGTTACAAGGGGGACAGCTCTGAAAATATCCTTTTAAATGCACTCACAGTAATTCACAGAGCTCACTGGGGTGGCGCCATCTTAGGAAAAAGTGTATACTTCTCTATGCTAGGAAAAAAGAGAATCCATACCCAAAAGTTTGCATCCTCCCTGTTTCTTTCATAAAGAGTGTATATGGGACAGAAGCTGCTCAGACTGGAGTCTGATATCCCTAGTCATTGCACTCCTGTCCCTCACAGTATAAGCTGCTGCCACAAACAGAACAAGGCTGGTCCAAGAATACAGCAAATTGGAACTGAAGTTGCAGTGAAGCATAAAAGCATGATTAAAGTAGGACCACCTGATGGGGAGAGGGGGTGGTATCTAGTTTACAATCTTTATTACACAGCTATAAAAAAAATCCTTGATCATGATAATGCTGACATGTTAGTCTTAAAAAATTTGGGAATGTGGGAATATGGTACGTTGAGGAATCAGAACTAAACAGTTCCAGTGTTTGTAAGTGAAATAGAGCTGAATATTTTCATTGTGCCCCCCTCAGTTATAGCTACAAAAAGCTTTTTGTGAAAATAAACAAGGCTGAAAAGAAAGAAGCAGACAAAAAAAAGTTTCAAAGCACATGCTAAAAGGGCAGAATGATGCTTGGACCTGAGTTTTCTTCCCATTCTCTCAGCTGCTTTGTAAATCCACACTATAATTACAGCCCACTCTACTATAGAGCCAGAAGTTCCCTCATTAGCACTCCACCTTAGCATTACTGTATTTTCTGGCGTATAAGGCTACTGGGCATATAAGACGACCCCCTAATTTTTTAGTTAAAAGATAGGGTTTCGCCTCCGCCTCCCCAGCTTTGCTCCCGGTGTCCCTGGTCTGCTGGAGACGGTCCCCAGCAGACCAGGGACACCGGGAGCAAAGCCTCTGAGGACGCCCCGCCGCTGGCTTCCGCCAAGGCTTTGCAAAGCCGCAAAGCTGTATACCCAGCGTATAAGACAACCCCCGATTTTTGGGGGATGTTTTTTAACATCAAAAGTTGTCTTATACACCGGAAAATACGGTACTTCACTTTGAAATGGTTTGTCATGAAATCTCACACTGTGGCATAAATATTAGAGCCAAGTCCCCTACTGCAGCTTCTAGTCCAGGGATGGCCAATCAGTTAGAGATGAAGAGCCAAAATAGTGGTGGAGAGTGTGCAAAGAGCCAGCTATTATACATTTATTTTCACAGACAGTCCCTAGATCGTCAGAGAACTTGACATGGAACAAACATCAAATTTAAAAAAAACCCCACCCCCTCACCCCTGTATTGTAAATTTAACACTACTGCCCTATTACATCCTATGAGTTTTTTAAATTAACACCAATCTGAAGTGCTGGTTTCATTCCAGCTGGTTGATCTCTGGTATGGTTTCCTTTTTTTTTTTAATCTTACAAAAATTATGGCTTTTTTATAGTTCTAAAATTTCAGACTGCAAATATGACAAGAAGGGAGAGACTCATGTCTCAGAAGAATTGCTTCAGCCTGGAAAGCCACCTTTGAATTTTCTTGAAAGAAACTGTGTAGACCAGGTACATGCTGATTTTTTTTTTTTTTTTGGCGCCCTGGAATTTAAATAGTACATCTGTGTTGGTTGCTTTATTCTGCATCCATAAAGACTTTGATTTAAGGTGCTTCAGCTCCCTTCCCCCCAACCCAATCCTCCTCCTCTCCCCCAGAGCTAGGCACACCCAGAGCCCTGCTCTAACCCAATACCCTCTCCCTCCTGCAGAGCCAGGCATCTCCAGCCCTCCCTGCTAACCCAATTTCCCCTTCTCCCCCAGAGCCTGGCAGCCCTAGCCCTCCACATGCTTTAACCCAATGCCTGGGTCCACTGCCATTGCCACGCACTTCTCCCTTTGGGCACTAGGGTGTGTGTGTAGAGCAGTCCAGGCGTGTGGCTCAGAACTAGCAAATACCGCATGTGGTTTCAGAGCTGCGGCTTGGCCACTCCTGTTCCAGTCAGTTAATATCAGTGCTGAAGTCATGAATGTATGGGGAGATTAAAAAACATTTCAGAAGACAATGTCCACAGTACTATGAAGAGATACTTTCAGGGATCCCTATCGGAATATGGTAAGGATAGACTAAGGTATCATGTTGAGGCTACTATTAACTGGACCTGCACAGTAGTAGCCCCCCCCCCAAAAAAAATCATACATCAATAGAGCCAAAGTCCGCCTCCGCCAGCATAAAACCATCAAAGTGGTAGTTTGCATGTCTCTATTTCAATTTTCCTCACTAGGTGACGATGATCAGCCTCCACAACAATGGTGTAAACTGTGGAAGAATCCCAGCAAATGAACTAGGAACAGAACAAACCTAGAACTTATTCCCTGAAGTCTCACATGGTGATACCTGACATTTCCTGCTTGTTCAAAGTTCTTGAATTTAAGTTCTGGTCAGGACAAAATAAATAAATAAATAGAAGCTGGCAGAGCAGCAAAAGATAGAACAAGGTATTTTCAACCTCATGTTTGGACTAGATCACAAAGCTCATTTGCTTTAGATGTCTGACACGGATTTGGAAGGTAAATAGAGAGTTGCTGTAGGGGGTACAAAGGTAAAAAAGTGCAAGTTACAAGTGGCAGGGAGAAGAAAGAATGGAACTGTTAACATTTGAGCATATCAGCAATGACATCATGTCATTAAGCTTTGCCTGAATAACTTCTGTAGGCACTGGAGAACAGAAATTACCTGAATCACAGCTTCAAGTAAGGATCTGAGAGGGGAGCACTGATCCCTCTAAAGTATGGCTGAGACTTCCCAATGCTACTTCAGATTACTAATGGCCTTAAATATTAAAAAATCCAAACACTTTCTAAGCATTAGATTCACCCAATCCTCCTCTTTGTATAACACTAGCTATTATATACAACATTGCTGCACACTAATTTCTAATTATAAAAGCTACATGAAGCTCTATCCCAAACTAGAATGCTAAGTTAAAATGGTAGAAAAATGAGATTAAAAAACCTGCTTGATTTGTTGAGATCCTTTTCTGTCAGAATTAAAACCTCACACTGAAATTCCTGGTGCCATATATCTGAGGGTACTTTTGCTAACTGAACATTAATTATGTCCTCTTGCTACTACTGATCCTTCCCCCTTTCCCTCCAAAAGCAAAGCACCAGCAAACCAGGTTTAACAAATCCATTCTACAATTGGCTAGAGCTTAGCATTTAGTATTATTTTTCTTATTGTGTGATTTTATAAAAGTCCAACATAAGTAAGAGTACAAGGCGCCTTTCATGCAGCAAATGAAGAAAAACACATACAAAGTGCAACTTATGTAAGACCTGGTTACATATGGCTGCTGCTGACTGAGTGCAGGAAGGACAACAATCAGAAGAAAACTTCTGGGCACAGAGACATGGAAGAAATTAACCCTCCCCCTCCCCAAACTACTTTTCTTTAATTTAAGAATCCTGTGGTCTCAAGAACCCAGCTACCTGAACTCAGCTCTGTCCCAGTACCCTCTCTGTCATCAAGTTGTCTGGACAAGCCACTGCAGTAAACAGCAGTCTCAAATGTGCAAAAGTTTCAGGTGTATTTAGAATCCTAGTGTCATGGAAAATGTACTATTTCCTCCTTTATTCTCCTCATCACACCTGCAGGAGGTGTTTAAACATTAGCCATAATTTCTAAAGAGGCTGGGGAGGAAGAGCACATTATAGTGTACATACACACTAGCACCTCAAAGGGGGTGGCAGCCAACAACTGATCATCAGGTATTAGAACTGAGTGGTTGGTAAGGTCTGGAGAGACAGGCAGATCCCTCCCAAGTGGATCAAAGCATTAAAGGAACTAAGCCATTTCCTGCTCAATTCTTCCCTCAGCTTCCAGATGATTGCTCCTTTTCATCCTCCGCTGCAAAGAAGGCATCAAGATCCATTAGTTTCTGAACAAGGAGGGCATCTATCTCTCTGCCCTGCACTGCAGCCTTTTTGGCTCGTGTGAAACTACCCGCCACTTTGACTCTGCTTCGTGTCTTCCTCTTCCGGGGAATAGTGAAGTCCTGAAACTCCAGAATCCGCTTCCTCTTCTGCTGGCTGATAGAGATCAAAGATCCATTTTTCTCCTTGGGCTCCTCAAAGATGGTTTCCAGACATCTGGGAAAGGTAAAGGATAGACGTTAGAATGTCAGAAAAAGCTATTTTTCATTCATAGACATGAAAGGAACCATCCTGCAGTGACAGAGAAATGACTAGATGACTCGGGACTTTTACATTTCTAACTTTTACAATCAATGACCCTTCTGAGACCTCACAATACGGAGCTCATGTTTCTAACTAATGACCACTTATCTTTAGAAATAGTTTCCCATCACTAGCTGTTAGTACCTTTTCTGTAGAGTTTCTTGTTGGTGCATAGATATCCAGTTGGAATCTGTCATTTTTAGTCCAAAAGCTCAAACCAAAGATTTTTATTGTAAGGAACAGAGGCATTTAGATCTACATAAAAGGATTAAAAAACCCCACACAAATAAAATTGCCTGTAAAGCGGCATTCTTGGTATTTTGCACTGAGGTCTACATGGCGTTTATCCAGCCCCTATAGTCCAATGGAATATAATTTTGGAGAATCTTGTTTGTTTTTTAATTTTGTAATAATGGGTATTGTATCTTGACTAAATATTGAAATGAATGCAAATAAGTTAATACAAAGTAGTGACATTTAAACCTTCAACAACTATAAGTTCTCAAAAAACAACAAATGGCCTGGTAGCACTTGATAGACTAACAAAACATGTAGATGGGATCATGAACTTGTGGGCACAGCCCACTTCAGATGACCAGAGTTTGTTCTCAATTTGAGAGACTGTAAACTCCCTACTCCCAATCACTCACAGATTAAGGACAGATTTTCAATGTTTTCTGAATTACCTTTCTACAGCAGTTCAAATCAGAGTCATCAATTCAACTTTGTTCTGAAGGGCACTTATTTTTCTCTATTTCCAAAAAGACAGTTTCATATCTCCAACCAGTTCAATTACATATGCCACATCCCCCCTATTGGTGTGTGCAACAAACCTGGTCATTGGAGGGGACTTGTAGTTCTTGTTTGTGTAAATTTCTTCTAAACTAAATTCTTTCTTCTTCAGCCTGGAAAGCAAATAGTGAATGAAGCAAGGAGAGTTTTAGAACCATCTCCCCCTATATAGGCAACATGACTGGGGGGTGGAGAGAGAAGGGGAGAAAAAGTCAGGTTTTCCTTCTCACCTTAAACTCCATACATTAATTTGTAAATGAGTTTTAAAAGGAGATCTAAGAATCTTACAAATGATGCTTCAGAAAGTAATGGATTGTGACCTACCATTTCCACAAGGATGAGTGTTCCTTCCAGCATGAAGTAACATTTCTAACTAATGATAACCAAAGGCAAAAAGAAAAATACCTCACAGATCACTGCCTCTTGAATTATGAACGTCTACCAAGTTTGTGGCTGTGAAAATCATGGTCTCTGGCCACTCAGTTTTGAAGACGGAGCACAGACTGGTGGCTGGCTGGAGCCTCCACTTTGAAAAAATTAGTGTGTGTGGGAGAAGGAAATCACGTTTTGTCTAAACATTTCTGTGAAATTTGCTATTTATGCCATGACCAACCCATGAAAAATACGTGATTTCACCGCAACTTAAGCAGACCCTATTTATGAAAAACAGAGGATGGGGGGGGAGGGGGGGGGGGCGGACCCACTTCAATGTTCCAGAAGGTTAAATAATGGATTGCATTTCTTGAGTCTTGGTTTTAAATTTGACTATTGACAATGCGACGAGGAGTCCTGTGGCACCTTATAGACTAACTGAAGTGTAGGAGCATAAGCTTTCGTGGGCAAAGACCCACTTCGTCAGATGCATGTGACAATGGTAATTCTTTTGATGCAATTTCAAATGAAATCTGACAGAATGGGTTTTCCTCAAGTCAATCAACCATCTACCAACTTGCCACTTTTGCTTTTCAACAGAAGTCCTGGACACGAACAGGTCAGAGTCAAGTACACTGAAAAATTTGTGGAGGTATCTGGCACAATGACCAAATTAACACGAACTTTGGTTTTCCAACATCCTGTTGGACAGCCAGGAGAAGTAAAGATTGCAGAAAAAAAATCTCAGAATAATTTGAGCTGGCAAGGGATTTGGGAAGGTAATCTGTTTTCCCTCCCTGAACTGTAGTAGGACTGTTTTCTAATATACCTATGGCTACTTGAGTTATTCAAGGCTAGACTGTAAAAGGAATTCCATTTTCTTTCTAGCCAACTCATTCCATTGCTGTTTCTAAAGAGTTTCATATTTATGCTATATATTACCTGGAGTAATTAAAGTTCATTCATCCTTGTTTCTGATTCATGAAAATTGATTTTTGTCTTCAGTAACAGTCTATTAGTTTGGAGACAGCTATCGACTACCTCATTCTTCTACACAGGCAACACAGAACTCTTAACCATGGCTTATGGAGAAACTGAGTACCAAGACCACCCAACCAGGAAAAGCCTAACTGGGCAAGCAGAGAAAACCCATTTAGTAGAATGGTGATGATACAATGCAGTGCACTTCTTAGAAGTGGCTAATCCCAGTATCATTGTCCAGTTAAGAGAGACCTCTCACCTTTTTCGTCTGGGGAGTCCCATGGGGGTAAGGTTAGGATCTGGCTTGGGAACAGTCTTTCGGATGCGGATCTGAGAAACTCTCTTTGGCTTCTTTTCTGGCTCTGCCTTTAGAAAGAGAAAAATATAAAATAAAGGAGCAACTGCTTACCTATCAGTAGTGTTCTCTCCCACTTGGGGTCTCCATTTTGAGCATGTGTAAGTATAACACTATATGAAGCTAAGGTAGGCCACATACCAGGGAAATTTTGCAGTAAACTACTTTATTTTTCAACAAAATGTATTTGTTTTGGGCAATACAAATGTACATACATTTTAAC